CAAAATGCACATCAGACCCCAGGGAGTCACTCCTGCCTCGATTGGCTTATGGCTGCACTTCGTGCTGTGTGGCCCAATCGGGTGATCCCTCTTATTAGATGGCAGATGTATGCTGAACTCCAACAGGTGTTATGAGAGCTAGGCATAAGAAATACCATCTATAGTCCAGAGAATTATGGCCTGGATGAACAGATTTTCACTACTGGGATGAGCAATATTGTGCTTCAAATGGCTCTAACATCCCTCTTTGGGTCTCTAGTGACCATTCTTTCCCCTCACTTAGGGATTCCTATAAGTGAGGTGACACATACAGTAGCAGACTTAGGAGAGGCTAAAGCAATGAGAACCCAGAAAGAAATAAGATCTGCTACTTATAAGAAGAATTTAAAGGGCCACATGAAGGTTATGAGGACCCAGATGTGGGTTGATTTAATGCAGGCAGGAGCAGATGGAAGGAAATTAAATGGGAAGTCAAATAGGATCTTACTGGAGCTATGGCAACAGCTGAAACCAGAGCAGCAGTTCCAGCCATTAAGACCAAGAGGCAGAGGTCAGAGACAGAGCCACGAGTCTGACCTGTGTGTTTGGAAAACTTTCTATTAAGAGCAAGCCAATCTCACTTGAGCCCATATAGGAAGGTGATTGGAGAACACGGTTTGACTGTGAGGAAGGTCAAGGTATCTGCCCTGAGGGACCAGGGGGGGACCAGAGGCCGCATGTTGAAATAGCTGTCCATTGGTCCCCAGTGAACATACAATGTGTCTGGCTCTGGTGGACACAGGGGCTGAATGTTCACTAATTCATGGTAACCCTGAGTGGTTCCACAGGACCCCCACTATCATAGATGGATATGGGGGGAAGGCTATCAGAGTGAAAAGAGCCCAAATCCCTGTGGAAATCGGGTCTACCCCCAAGAGAGTATACTGTACATATATCTCCTGTCCCTGAGTATATTTAGGGGGTTGATATCCTGCAGGGTCTATGGTTGCAGACCACTGAAGGTGAGTTCAGACTAAGAGTATGTGTGGTGAAGGCAGTTCTGAGGGGACATGCTAGGCACCCAACCGTAGCTTTGTGCCTCAGTGGGTGACTAACACCAACCAATACAAACTGCCTGGAGATCATAGAGAGACTGGAGAAACTCTCCAGGAGCTGGGAAAGGTGGGTATTATAAAGCCCACTCATAGTCCTTTCAATTCCCAAGTGTGGCCAGTAAAAAAGTCAGATGGATCCTGGTGTATGACTGTGGATTACAGAGAACAGAATGAAGTCACTCCTCCTGTGCATGCTGCCGTCCCCTCTATTGCAGGCTTGATGGAGACCCTCAGCCATGAACTAGGAACATACCATTATGTGGTAGATCTTGCTAATGCCTTCTTTTCAACTGACATTGAGCAGGAATTCATGTGACTATTGTCTTCACGTAGAAAGGATAGCAATGGACTTTCACTGCCCTTCCACAGGGATAACTCCACAGCCCCACCATCTGTCATGGACTTGTAGCTCAGGACTTGGCTACATGGGAGAAAACACCAACAGTGCGGCTGTACCATTATATTGATGATGTCATGCTCATGTCTGATTCTCTTTCAGATCTAGAAGGTGCAGCACCTAGACTGCTTCAACATTTACAGGAGAAAGGATGGGCTGTGGACAGTACCGAGGTTCAGGACCTGGTTTCTCTGTCAAATTCTTGGGGGTCGTCTGGTGGGGTAAGACCAATGTTATATCAGAAGCAGTTATAGATAAAGTCCAGGCCTTTCCTACCCCTACAACTGTAGCATTGCTATAGGAGTGTCTGGGTCTTCTAGGCTACCTGAGACTGTTTATCCCACACTTGGCACAAATTCTGAAGCCTTTATACCAGTTGGTACGAAAGAGTGTCAGGTAGGACTGGAATGAGACATGTGTCTTCCTTTACTACAGAAAAATGCACAGTAAAGGCCATGCAGGCCTTGAGTGTGATAGACCCATCAAGGTGCTTTGAGCTGGATGTTCATGGGACTGAAGATGGTTATGGCTGGGGTCTCTGGCAGTGGCTTGAACGAATTCACCAACCTACTGGATTCTGGTCACAACTCTGGAAAGGGGCAGAGGTACAATACACTTTCAGAGAAAAACAACTGGCTGCCATGTATCACACCTTGCTGGCTACAGAACCCATCACAGGAATGGCCCCGATAAAGGTAATAACCACCTATCCCATCTTGGGGTGGGTACGAGACTGAACCCAAAAGCCAAGGAGTGGTGTGGCACAAACACCCACATTAGCCAAGTGGGGTGCTTACCTACAGCAGTGTAGTCCTCTCTCTAGTAGCCCCTTGAGTGAAGAACTCCAATGCTTATTGGGGCCAGTGACATATACTAGTGAAAAGCAGGAAGAATTTGCTTTTGAACTGTTAGTAGCAGAGAGTCTCTATCGGGAGGGAAGAGCCCCTATACCTGAAGATGCGTGGTACACAGATGGCTCCAGCAGTGGGCAGCCCCCAAAATGGAGGACCATAGCTTTCCATCCAAAGACTGAGACAATATGGATGGAAGATGGTGAGGGGAAGAGCAGCCAATGGGCAGAGTTGCAGGCTGTGTGGCTTCTGATCAGCAAGGAGCCCTCCCCTATAGTTGTTTGCACTGACAGCTGGGCTGTCTATCGGGGCTTTACCCTGTAGCTACCAACCTGGTACCATGCCAACTGGCTGGTTGGTCACCGACCCCTTTGGAGGCAAGAATTATGGCAAGAATTATGGGCCTGTGGTCAGACCAAAATAATTACAGTATACCATGTGATAGGTCATTTGCCACTGGCATCCCCAGGAAATGATGAGGCAGATAAATTGGCCCAGATACGTTGGTTAGAAGGAAAGCCTGCCTCTGATATAGCCCAATGGCTACCTCAGTGTCTGTTGCACGTGGGATAAAAGACAATGTGGGCTGTAGCCCGTCGGTGGGGCTTGCCTTTGACCTTTGAAGAAGTTAGTAGAGCCTGGCAGGAGTGTGTCATGTGCTCTAAAAGAAACTTACACCGAGTTCCACAGCAACATGGAACAGTAACTAAGGGGCCTATACCCCTTGTCAGGTGGCAGATAGACTATATTGGGCCTCTACCTGTGTCAGAAGGATATTAGTACGTGATGACTTGTGTGACACAGCTACTGAACTTCTGGTTGCTTTTCCTACCCATTGTGCAGACCAGCAGGCCACCAAAAGAGGCCTGGAGCATCTCTTTGCTGCCTATGGCCGACCACAGGTGATTGAGAGTGATCAGGGCACCCATTTTACTGGACATACACTGCAAGAATGGGTACGACAGCTGGGAATCAAGTGGAAGTTTCATGTGCCATACAATCCTACCACAGCAGGCATGATAGAGAGGCACAATGGCTTGTTAAAATCCGGACTAAAGTCAGATACCAACAGTCTGCAGGGATGGTCAGTCCGCGTATAGACCGTGCTACAGTGTTTGAATGAGAGACCCCAAAAGGGTGCTCTGAGCCCCGCAGACATGTTAACACATATGGCTGCTTCCCCCATACAACTGCAAGTACAAACCAAGGAAGAATCACTGAAGCTGAGCTTTGGCCACTAGAATAACATCTTGCTGCCAGCACCAACTGCACTGAACCCCAGAGACTCCATTGAGTGGACGTAGCCTTGGACCTTTCGACACATGGACCAACGACGGCTGGCTCTCCTGGCACCTTGGGGACAAGGCCTGGAACCTGGCCTCCTGTGTATTCCTGGAATAACGGCAGAGTGGCTGCCAAAAGTCACAGTAGTATATCCTGAATGGCCAGAAGGTAAGAGCATCTTACTGGGGAGTTTTGTTTTATCATTATGGCCAGTGCATGCACCTCTAATAGCACTATGTATAGACCCTTCAGTAATCCCCACAGGGAAAGGAATAAAAGTATGGTATACTAGAACTGGAAGGGACCCCCTTCCTGCTATAGGACCACTCTCTTGCATGCATCCTACCTGATGGACAAGATTTGCCTATGTTGGTGGCATTAAAACATGTCTCTTACTGCCCCTTAAGTCTTTGTGAATTGGGAACTTCCTGTGGCTTGAGAATTATTATAATTTTTGTTATTAGGAACCTCCTCTGGCTTGAGGATTATTATAATTTTTGTATCAAAATCTTGCTGTATCTTAATTTTTATTATCTCTAAGTTGTTGTTATCCTCTGTTGCTGTTGTGGAATCTGGTTACAGTGCTCCAGCTTTCTCGCGCAGGGACCATTGCGGAAGATTGAAAGCATATAGATTGTCAGGTGAGAATCCTGGAGGGGTGGAGTGTAGGGAAGTTGGGGCTCCTATGGCCGGGATCCTCACTGAACTTAAACCACCTGATGATGTAACTGGCCTGTTGCTGGGCTGCTGCTTCCACACCTGTAGGCAATAAGCTATTAGTGCGCTATAGAGAGAGTTCAGCCCAGTGCTCTGGGCCAAGGCAGAGATGCTAGTGCTCGACCTACTGCAGGAGAACAAGCTGGGTAATAAACCCTTTCACTCCAAGAATGTTTTGTTGTCGATTCCTTTGGTCACACTGAATCCATAGTGAACTTGCCCAGGGATGAAACCCATTGGCAAGACACAAGTCAAGCCAAAAAAGCAGCTGCCCAAATGCTACTGGCTGTTTCCTTCACCTACCATTCTGCTCAATGCCAGAAAAATGAGCTAGAAGGCATGCTGTTCTGGGCAAGGTGTTCTCCAAGTTCTCAGGTGAGAGGGGGATTTTTTTAAACAGCTGGATGCATGCGAGGAACCCACAGGTTGTACCAGTTAAGTAATGAGACTGATTTTTTTCCTCTCTTAAATAATATCAAGAGAGGAGAAATACAAAAAGTGATCACCTTGAAAGGCTGTGTGCTTATTTCATTAATGTACTATTGCCTGAAACATCCCAGGAAGTATTTCAGGGATGTGCTTTCCAATCTGGTTGACTTTCCACATTTCTGCTCAACCTGAGGCCTCTCTCACATAAGTGCACATTCTTTACATTCATTCATGTGACAATTGTTTATTTTAATCTTTCTCCCAGGTTGCTGCTAGCTATTACATTTTTAAAGATTTAAAAAAAGCTATTCTTATTGAGGAACATATTCCCATGATTATATTTAAAGAAACTAATCTGGACCACCTTACTGTCGTATCCATGCACTGGTCCTGGTTTAATGTCCTAATTTTTCACATTTTGCTCTGATGGATTCTTGGTTTCCAAAATTAAATTCCTCAAGTAAGAATTAAGATGTGATGCTATGGTCACCTCTAAAGATATTCAAATGTGAACAGAAAATTACAGAAAACCTAGGGATTTTAGAGGTGAGCCAAAATTATTGTGCAATTCGATGTCATTTCCTGCATTATTGATGAAGCATAGATCCATACCTGGAGTGTGGCACTGAACTCTAAAAGTAGGGTATAAAAAGGAAAATACAAATACATTTAAGGTGAAGATAACTTGGGTAGAGAAGGGATCAGAAATCATGTTCCAGATGCAATTTGGAGAACATGAGGTTCTCCTTCCAGTATCTGGAACACTGCCTGTTAGAAGAGAGATTAGACATGTTCTGCAAAACACAATGAGTTCAACTAGGACTGACAGGGAGATGCCATGTGGAGACGGACTTTGTTTTAAATATTTCTAAGTCTCAGAACTGCCCTAAAATTGAATAATCTCCTTTGGGTGTGATAGTGAACTCACCATCTGCAGGGAGAATGGAAGTTCCCATGGCCGAGATGCTCACCTGACCCTAATCTACTTGCCCATGCCCATGTGCAATGATTGTAATTCACCTACTTCATAGGCATGTGCTTACACACATGTTGGCAATGAGCCATTGTCTGTTTGGTTGTATAAAGAGCTCCACCTACTACTCTGCGGGGGAGGTGGAGACAGATTGGAAACTGCTGGATGCAGACATGATTCTAGCACTTGACCTGCCACTGCAAAAATAAAGCTTGGTATAAACCCCTTTACCCGCAACTTTCTGCCGTTGTTATTCGGTGTCACCCAATCTGGAGTGAACTGGCCCAGAGCTGAAGCCCTCCGGCATTATTACACCATCACCCAAAGTATTCAAGCATGGTCTGAAAGATCTCTTAGAGCAATGGTGCAGAAAAGCACGGGGCAGAGAAAGTGTGGTCTCTAAAGTAACTTTTGCTTGTGAAACTAATGCAAGATTGGATCAATGACATCATTGGAATAGATGGAGCTTCTTAACAAAAAACCCAAAACATTCTAAGATTATTTGGACAACTCATGCGTCGTGCCCCCATCCTTAATCCTAACAACAAGTGGCCCATTAGAGTGTGAAAAGACTATCTTCATCTTCTCTTCCATGCTGTATGTCATCGAGGACATTTTTACTTTCTCCAACATTATCCAGCCTATAAAGAGAAAAGAGAGGCTGATGATGGAAAACACCAAGACCAGAAATAAATGGATGCTTCTAAATTACACACAATCAACCAAGGCTGTTCAAGTTAAAAGGAGTCCAAACCTTCCATTTAACAGATGAGAAAACTGAGGCCACAAGGACTTTTGCCAATCTATTCTAATAAGAGAATTAAAATTTTCTATATTTGCAAAATACAAAATCATGATCTAAATATATTTAGTTAGAAAAAGGATCTCAAAGTATGACCTTCAAAAGTCACCTCACTGAGCCTCAGTTTCCCTACTTCATCACAGTTTAGACCAAATCCTTCCATTTCTTTGCCAGAAAGCTATAGAACAGGACAGATAGCCAAAATCCCTCTCCAGAAGCTCTTCAAACTATTTAAAAAAACAAAACAACGAAACTGTTCCCATGGTCCAGTTGGGCAGAGGAACCAAATTCCAGGAATGATGTTCTATATGTTTTTTCATTTTCCATACTGCCAAGTCTCCTGTCCATGAATTTCAGCTTAACAATGTCCTCTTAGAGTGAGTTGCCAGAATTCAACAAAGATTTCAAGCACAGAGAAGAGTGGCAAACCACCTTCTTTCTTTTGCATGTCATACTTCTATTAATGCAACCTGCCTTGTGTTTGCATTTTGGACAAACATAACAGTGTTAATCAAAACAGAGGTTAATGTGAGCTAAATCACCACATCTTGTTCACCTCTAATGTCACATCTCAGTAACCCTGTATTTAATCAGAGCACAAGCACAAGTCATTAAACCACTGAGTAGCATCTAATCATTTGTAACAGCTTGTACAATCATTACAATAATCAGTCATGCAAGATGAATTACCTTGTGTGTTTCTGGAAACAATTGCTTTTCTTGACTTTCCCTGAAAAGACAAGGCCACAGTAAAAACAAGCTAGCAGGGCTAGGTCATGTGAAATGCTGCAGGAAGGCCAAGACTACCTTTCAAAGAGCAGAGGTGGTCCAAAGGTGAGAGTTCAGAGACTGGCTGTGGCAGGGAAAGCCATTCCTTTTCCCAGATCAAATGATTGCTTCTTTAGGCCCCTAGGCAGCACCCATCAATTACAGTCTTTCCAAAGTTGTGAGCAATGGAGTTAAGCTTCTTCATTGTTGAGTCATTTGCCCACTCAGAATTCAAGTACTCATTTGGTTTTAAAACGCTTCCTTGTGAGAGGTACCCAGAACTTCTAAAACTGTACATGCCTTTGTGTGAGGGCTAATGGCAGGCTTCCACTAAGTTACAAATTTCCTTTGCAGAGTTTACTAGGGACAGGTATTGAAATATACAAGTTTCCCTATTGTTCAAACAGGCTGGAATGGTTACTAGTCTTATTTCCTTACTACCTTGAAACAGTTGCTGTTAATTATTCTGTTAAATAGAATAAATTTTTTCCCATTTTACAACAGGACCAGGTGCCACATGCCTATACTTTACATGAAGCCCTATTTCATGACTCTTGTTGCAGTGTTTTAAGCTTTTCTTTGAAGGCAGCAGGGGAGGAGGGCAAAATCATGGGCCAGCTGGAAAATCTATTGACATCCCTGCCCCTTGAAAAATGCAGCTAGGAACCCACAAGTACTTTTGCACATGATTTCCAAGGAGTCACTTGCCCCTGAGGTCTATGTGTGGAGCCTAGGTTAAGATAAGAAAGCTTGCTTTAAGGGAACAGTAAGATGACAGGGATCATTTATGGCTTTCTTGCTGGAGCAATCCTAGCCCAAGGAGGAAGCTGGCCCAGGGTTTCCTCCATGCTAAGACAAGGATACTAATGCTTTCACTGAAGGCAGTAATGAGGATGAAAAGAGATAAGCAAGGCAAGAGTATGTGGCTATAAATTAAAGGTGCTCTTAGTTTGACTTCTCTTTTCTAAAATCAACTCTATCAGGGAGATGATACCTGAAGCCTTTAGCATCTTAGAGAGAATGAGTTTACCTGTTACCTCCTTGACCCAGAGAGGGACCGTGAGAGCAAAGGCACTCTGGGGAATGGAGACAGGGGCAGGATGCAGAGTGAGTCCATTCCCAGACCCTCCTGGAGCCTCCACAGCTCTGAAGGACTCCTTCCCCCTGGTTCTCGCCCCTCTTACCTCGAAGGAGAAACACCACAAGCCATGACAGCAACACAAATCCCACGGAAGGAGCAATGATCATCAGCAGGTCTGAGTTGTCAGTCACTTTTATCTGGTGACACAGAGGGAAGATGACTGGGTCACTGTGTCTTCTCTTTTTGTGAGGGGAACACGTGTTTTGAATGTCATCCTCAGATGCGTTTCCCAACCCAGTCATGCCTCCAATTGCACACAGCCTCACTGTATCTCACCACCTTTCACCCAGTGTGTCTCAAGATCAAAACAAAGCCAGCCTTATAAATCAGAAATTTTAAAAAAATCTCTGAAAAACTGAAACATTTCACTGGACCCCCAAATTTCCCTAAGTCTTAGACATCAGGAATATGGGCAGTGGGGCTCAGGGATCTGATGATAAAAAATAACAGTGCTCTGACCTGTGTTCTCCACTGTCCAATCTCTTTACTGGCCACCACCTAAATCCTTTAAGCTCTGTCTAGCCCTGTGCAGTTCTTCTCATGGCTCCCTTAGACTTCTAGAGGTAACAGGATTAAAAAGAAAATGGAATTCCATTTCAAATTTTTCTACAGCAGTGGTTCTCAAAGTGTAGCCAGAGGACCCAAGTGGTTTTCACAAGACATTATTTGCCATTTCACTGTCATTCTCTCATGAGATGTACAGTGGGGTTTCCAGGAGTTTACATGACATGTGATGTGATGATCTCATTGCTCAGATGATAGAATAGGTAAGTAGCTATGAGAATCTCTGTCTCCTATTAAGTCAGACATGAAAGACATTTGCAAAAATGTAAAATAATACCTCTTCTCTCATTAATATTCTTTCACTCAGGAAAAGTTTGTTTTCATCAGGTGTTGTTTATTTTAACATGTGATGGGTTTGTGATTCTTGCTTTTAAAAGAGTTAATAAATCCTGTTTTTAATTTCTCAGTTTTAATATTTACAAGCATAATAGGGTCCTGACACCAGAGAGTTTGAGAAGCACAGCTCTGGAGGCAGCGTCTAGTTCTTGTGGGGGCTCCGCCATCTCCCACCACCCAGGCCAGGCTCTGTGGTCCTTGCCTTCCTGTCCCATTCTGCAGCACAGCGGCAGGGACAGGACAGCCGTCTCTCTCTGAAGAGAGGGAAGCGGAAGAAGCAGGAAGGGATGGGGACCTCCATTTTTCCTTCATATCTATGCTGTTTGAAGTTTTTACTTAAAGCAGCTTGAATCACTTTTGTAATAATAAAAATGGATGAAGGGTAGACTCAGAAAATAAGAGGAACTCTGGTGGCAGGTGTTGATTCTGCAGGGTACCCTCATCTTGGTCACACAGAAGGAACACAATGATTTTTCCATGTTTATATATATTTTTTCTTTTCAAAGCATCTGCACATATAAAAATATCCATGTTATATCTACCAAGAGTACAGTTCTTAGCTCTTTTATAACAGTTGCAAGGCATTTTGCCACTTAAATATATCTACTTTCCTTAGTCCATTTCTGTAAACCTCTATTGTGGATTTTAAAAATCTAAGTCATATACTTCAAATACTTCACAAAAAATTTTACCTGTTCTGATTCAACTTCATTTTGCTCAAGAATTGTTGTCTCAGATGCTGAGAAAAGAGAAGAAAATGTATTTTCTGTGAGACAATAAATCACCACATTCTGAAATAAGCATTTCAGAGGTCATCTGGAATTTCAGTTGATGTATTTAAGCTTTTAATCCCACCTTTCCTTTTTTGTATAACTTATTCATGCATTGTTGTTTTGATATGATTTTATCTAAAGCTCATCTGCTCCCTGAGTCATCCCACAGGACCATCTCCATTTTACAGATGGGTAGGGTGAGGCATCAGGACCGCAGGCAGCTGGGTCTAAGTTTTCTGAAGTTCCCAGCAATGCATTCAGGATTTTATCCAGCAAGAACACTTGTCAGTCCATCAATTAACAAATATCTATTGACCGTTTAATATAAGTTATGCTCTATGCTAGCTGTACCACTAACCTCATCAGTAAAATTTACAACTTAGTGCAGAAAACCAAATTTAAACAAATAATGTGAATAGCTGAAAAAACAGTTACAACTGTGCAGAAGAAAATGGGAACAAATAGTATAGGATATAATAGGAGCATATCATGAGGATGGCTAACCTGTTCTGGAAGGTCAAGGAAAGTGTCCTTGACAATGTGAGTTTAAGATGAGACATGAAGTCACTTATTTATAATTGATAACTGGTTCAACATGGGAGCCGTACTGAGAATCTACCAAGTGCTAAGCTCTGTTCCAGGCACTAACAATGCTGAGATGACTACGGCATGGCCCTATCCTCATGAAATTTACAGTAGAGAAGGCAGAGAAGAGGGTAACTTCAATGTGCCAGGTCAAGGTAATCATGGAGTTCGGAGGTCTGCAGGGGAGGGTGGGCACGGGGAGAGGCACTTAGCTCAACACTGTCATGGCTCAGAGAGAGCTAGTAGAATTAAACCAATGAGGACAGAGTCCCTCACTGCCTGCTCAACAATGGACTCCTACTGCCTAGCACATACTTGGTCAGTAAATATTTGTGGAATGAGTAACACACAAGCTGAGGTAAGCTGTGTAAGAATTAGCGAAGAAACACGGTGAAGGCATGTTAGGAAGAGCAGCATCAGCAAAGCTGTGGAAGCATGAAACAGGATGGCTCCCTGTCCAATGCCAAGCTGCTGCGAAGATATGAAATGAAGAGTCGGGAGGGGCAGGGGATGAGACTGAGATGGGCAGGAACCAGGCATGGAAGGCCTTTTGTTTCATGCTGGTAAGGCTCTGTTTAAATTAGTAAGCAGTGGGAAACACAGAATGTTTCAAGCACATTATAGTTCAGTTCAGAGGATAAGGGAACAGCCAAGATGAGATTATCATCTGATTCCAGGCCTGAAACTCAGAGCTAGTAGAAATGAAGGGATAAAGACAGATACCAGAAATGTTTAGGGGAGAGAGCAAGACGACGTGGATGCCGAATGTGGGGTGAGAATGAGACAAGAGTAAGTAACCTGCAGGTTCCTACTTGAGCCACTGGTCCATTGACTGAACTGTCCGCTAAGATTACAAACACCAGAAGCAGAGCAGAGGGCTAAGTCTGGGTGAAGGGGAGAATGGTGAAAAGCTCAGATTTTGAGTCTTTGAGTGAAAGGTAGCTGAGGGATGCACGCAAACACTATTCGTCTGACAAGCAGCTGATGGGTTTCAATCTGAATCAAACTCATGAAAAAAAGATAGAGTTGGACCTACTGTTTTGTGAGTCATCAGTATCAAGGGGCAGGGATCATCCTTGGAGTGTACAAGAAATCCAAGAGCTGCATGTGGAGAACAGGGACCCTAAGAAACCCCAGCACTGAAAAGGTAGGCAGAGGAGGCGGAGGAGAAGCAGCAGAGGACACGGGCAGAGGGCAGGGGGTGAGAGCAGCGTCCCGGAAGCCGGGGCAGGGGAAACGTGCAGGAAGAATGCAAAATCCTATGGGCAATAAAACCTTCAATAGAAACAGAACATAAAGTCCAATATAGAAAGACCTGAATATAATAAGTATCTAGGCTAATAATTACTGAAATTGACCACTGAATCCCCCAAGGTTCCTCCCACTCAAGACAAAAACTGAAACATAATAGGTTTTGTAAGGTTCATCATTTGGTATAAGCAAGCTTATTTGTTCAACAGGAAAAATAACTTGTTGAAGGCCTAGGAGCATAAAACTCTGAGGGGGAAATTCAGAATGTTTTCATATCCTACAACTCGGTTATTGTTGTTTTTCTCTCTGCGATTATCCCCGAGAGCTGAAAATTGCAGGTAAGAATTCAACACTCCTACCCCTGTTCTGTCAAAATCCTGTAGTATTACAATTGTTTGTGATAGATAAGCCTGAAATTGAAACCATCAAAGAGAAACACCAGCCTGGGTCAATTTTGTCAGAGCTAATCTGTATTTTAAATTGGAACTGTCTAGTGGGAGAGTGATTTTGCAAAACACAAATACTGCCTCGTGATACCGAACAGCATTTCTTCTCCTTCAGAAAATGCCAAAGGCTCCAGTGGGAAGCACGCCAAAGGCCACAGTGTTATATACTGAACAGCGACAAGAAACACAAAGTGATGGTGATTTTTGCTTCCTCGTGGAAAGTACGGATGCTATCGGCCGAGGCATGGGGCTTGGATGCTTCAGGATGACTGGTTTCCACGTCTTCAGCGCGTCCGGGCCCTGGTGCTCTTGAGGCACTGAACACTCTGAGGCAAAGGCAGGGGCCTCTGGGACCTCGCAAGAAAAGCAATTCTGTGAGTGGGGAATTGTACTGGGTTTACTGGTGTCCCCCAGAATCATGGACACCCAGAACCTCAGACTGTGACCTTATTTTGAAACTGGGCCTCTTTGCAGATGTCACTAGGTCAGGGTCCTGAGATGAAATCATCATAAATTTAGGACAGGCACTAAACCCAAAGGCTGTTGTCCTTATAAGAAGAGAAGACACAGAGAGACACCCAGAGAAAGGGGCCACGTGAAGACAGGAGGAGCGGGTGACACTGCCTCAGCCAAGGCACGTCCAGGGCCCCAGAGGCTGGAGGAGGACAGGATGGATTCTCCCTGGAGCCGCCAGAGGGGGCAGCGCCCTGCTGACCCCGCGGTTTTGGGGTTTCTGACCTCTAGAACTATGAGATAGTAAATTTATAATTGTCTAAATCTAAAGATATCTTATCTAAAATTATAAGATAGTAAACGTGTATTATTTTAAGCCACTGCATCTCTGGCAGTTTGTTAGAGCAGCCGTGGGAAACTAACCCAGAAGCCCTGGTCTCCAAGGCCTTCCAAGAGACCAGCTCCAAGGATGGGCGAAAAGGATGAAAGGAAGGACTGGCTTTTCATTTGAAATGTGTTTGTCCACTCTGTACCTTTGCCATGTATTATCTATCTTAAAATTAATTCATTCAAATGCAATAACAACAGAAGAATCTTAGAACTAACCACATTTCCCCAGGTCCATGTACTGACCGATACTTCTGATTAACATTAGGTTTTCCTACAGGGTGAAAATGTATTTATGTAAAAAATACCAAAATAGGGACCCCTTGGCAGCTAGAGTTCCCACTGTGTGTGCTGGTTTGATTTTAGGCTCTTGGGTTCTTGGTATGCACAGGTACTCTAGCAAACAGACACCCTGTAAACCTTCACCCCAGCCTGCGGAGAACATGAGGGCCTCTCGGCTGCCTTGCTTCACCACCACTCTTTATCACAGGTTTCCTGGCTGTGTGACCTCCAGCAAGATATTTCCTGTACTAGAAACTCTGTCTCTGAGCCACCTTATTCATCTGAAAATGTTCATATTTCACCAACTGATCTCCTCTGCCCTTTTTAACCTTTATATCTCTGGGTGACTTTTTTACAAAGGATTTGAATGACCTGAGAAAATGATCATTACATAGTAATTTTTTTAAAGGGTATAAAGCTGTACTGAGTACAAGGATTGAGTATGTAAATACTTAAAAGTATATGCACAAATACATGTGTATTTCTTTCTTCACATAGAAAACTCAGAGAAGAAATACTAAAAGATTAAATATATCTCATTTTGCATAGAAATGCTATAAGTAATTAAAATTTTTTTTGCTTACTACTTTTGTATCATCTTTAAATTTTTTCAAAGGTGAAACATTCAACTGCAAAATGTTCTACATATCATGTGTTCATCACTGGAAACTCTCCAAGATGCCTGAGTCAAGAGCAAACTCTTAGAATGTGTGTCATTTCTCTGAAGTAATGCCACAGTGACCTCCTGCGAAACGAACTAAATGAAACTGACAATAGCTGTTAGGAACCCACTAACCCACAGCCAGAGAAGGGTTGGGTGATGCTATTAGAAAAGACACCCCTCTACCTCTACCAGTACTGATGTGCAAAGATCTTCATAATATTTATAAAAACTGGTGAAATCTAAGTAGAGTTAGTAGACCAGTTATTTGCACTGTGCTGATGCCAACTTCCTGCTTTTGACAATGTGCTGTCGTTACGTAAGATGTTTAGTAGAAGGTGGACCTCCCTATGCTGTTTTTGCAAAATAATTTCATGTGAGTCTAAAATTTTTTCAAAGTAAAATAAATTTTTTAAGTCGTTTAAATATGAGCCATTTCATATGGCTCAGTTTAAAATATGCATGGTACATAGGAGCTTTGCAGTACAGGTCTGTTAAACAAAATCACCAAATGAATTTTAAAGTGGGTTTAAAAGAATACAGAGAGAATGACTTTGTAAAAAACAAACTTAACAATTTCTGTAAAACATAATGATAGATATTACTATGTTATTAGGGGGAAAAAATGATCTGAGAGGATGTAGTCCAAACTGTTACAATAATTATCTCTTCATCGTTTCATTTGCGATAGGGGGTGAGAGCAGGAATGTTTGGAATACAAGAAACTTTCACTTTATAGTATTTTAACTTATTCTTTTACAAGAGTATATATTTCTTTTGCAACATGAACAGTAAAGCTTAAATGTTAGAACTATAGCATAAAAACATCATCTTTACCTTCAAAGGACTTATAATCTAGCAGAGCAGGAGGCAATGTGCATGCTCTGTAAAAGCTGTATTGAAATAGACTCACATCTGCCCTTTTAAGGAATCTGTCCTCTGTCTGCATGGCATAAATCAAGGGGTAGCAAACTATGACCAGGGGGCCAAAGCCAGCCTGCTGCCTGCTTTTGTACAGTCTGAGAGCTAAGAATCATTTTAATGTTTTTTCAAATGGTTGGGAAAAAAATCAAAAGAATACTAACTCACAACACATGAAAACTACTGGCAATCATACATCAGTGTCCACCAAAAAGTTTTAAGTTTTAGTTACTTACTGAAGCACAGTGGGCACCCATTTGTTTACACGTCATCTCTGTCTGCTTTTGCACTATAGGGGCAGAATTGAATAGTTGCAAGACAGACTGCATGGCATGGTGTTTAAGGCCTAAAATAGGTACTACCTGGCCTTTTTAGAAAAAGTTTGCTGACTCCTGGTGTAGTTAGTCTATTGGTGCAAAAACAGGGCCCATGGAGTCAGGGAATTAAATGTGTTATATCTGAGCACAATTTTAATTTTAAAACCTTCAGACCCTAGGGTAATGAGAGCCTTCCCTTCAAAGGTAGTTATGTCTAAGGTGGTAGACTAAAACCCTCTCAAATAAAACTATGTATAGTTCCCGAATGGCATTGGGATTTAGACTAGAAAATCTTTTAAGAATCCATTCTGAGTATCACCCCTGTCTCCAACCCATTAGCAGAAATTCGCTTCAAATGACTAGAAACTTCCTCTGAGCATCAATTTATCAAGCACTACTGCATGCCTGGCATAGAGATGAGCTTTTCAAGGATCTCATTTAATGCTTTCAAAACCCATGTCATAGATACACAAATGGAAGCTGAAAAAACTTAAATCACTCACCCAAGGTAACACAGACAATAAAAAGAAATTTGAACCCAACTCAGAATAACTTAAAAATCATGACTGTATCACTCTGAGAGAAAATAAAAATAGCATAGTAAAATCCTATTTGAAAATACAAACTGCTCTGAACCATTGGGCTTCATGCCAAAAATCAACTGAAAAAAAAAAATCACTCTATCTCCTCAGTGGGTACATTTGAAACTAATATTACAAATGTTGACTCATCTTTGAGTTCATAGACGCTGGGACTCTGATCTGTCTCTACTTTTAAAACAAATTTAGTTCTGAAATGAGTCAATTCAATGATACAATCTTAACGCAATCCTAGAATTTTAAGTGACAACTTCAAGCCTTCAGCTTTTTCTTTTATAGGTAGCATCTGGCTTATGCTGCCCCCTTCTGGATCACTTATGGTATGGTCTTTAAAATTTCAAAGGCTAGCGAAAAGATCCAAAAATATATGATTTTAGAGTTGAATAAATTTTGAAATTATCTCCTCTGATTGCTTTTTTTTAAGTCAAGGAAAAAAATCTAGAGATATAGTTCACTCACTCAAGGTTTCAGAGTAATGAGTAACAAAGGAAGTGATTAGAAACCATGTTTTCTGAACTTGCCTGACA